AGGCAGGGGAACAAAATAATTAAGGTATTTTTCTGCTTAGGAAAGCGTGGGACCTGCTAAACACRCTTTGTTTTTCCCCTTCAGCCAGAGCAGGGAACAGACAAGCTGGGCCAGGGAAGAGAGGTGGTAAAGGCAARGCTTCATCCCAGCTCAGGTAAGAGGAGAACACAGCTCTGCAGCTTTAGGWACACACAAACCACACTGCTTTGAGGGTCACGCTTTATTCCAAGGTCTGCTCAGCAGCCCTGGCACAGGGACAATGCCAGGACACAAGTTAACAAAATAAATTACATTAGAAATTACCACAGCGTAGTGTTTGCTGGGGAAGAACCAGCACCTGGATTAAAATCCTGCCTATTTGAGTAATGGGATATCCTAATCCCATAGCAGAGTAACTCCTGGGAAAAAACTGCCTTGTTTGATGGGTGTGAAGTGTTTCACACGTAGAGTTACAGAGAGGTGATCCCTGAAGTCATTCACAGAACTAGCAAAGCTCATTAAAGAAACCCCAGCCTGCCAAGTGTTTCTCCATGAAGGAAGAAGTKTTTGGTTGATCCATGAAGAGAAATCTCTTCTTGGGAAGCAGCTCCTTGCCCCCAGATGTGCTGCAGGGCCTAGCCTTCCTGGAAGCACAACAGCCACAAAGGAATTTGTATCTGGAACTTGGATTTTTAAACCTGGASAAGGTGGAAGATGATAAGCACTGCATCTTCTCAAGATTTCCACAGCTTGGGCAAATTAAAAACAAATCCAGCATTAAAAATCAGTGGAGATCACTTCTTCTCTCCCACAACTTGTCTCAGCARGAATTAGCCACTGAGTTAAAAAGCTGAAGTGCAGGTCCCCATCTCCCAGCACAGCAGTGTGATTCAAAAACAGTAAATCAAGATTCAGAATCTCCCCACCTTGGTTATCAAACCTCCTTACAACCACATCTGACCATAAACTCAGAGAGCAGAGGCACTTGTGSCACAAGTGGGCACACAATTAAAAGATCCAGTGCTGTTCTAGCCAARGAGCCTTGGCCAAAAGAGCTGGGATTTACCAGAGATCTTCCTCTGGTGCACTGGTTTTTGCTTTCTTTACAGCCAGGGCCACCTCTGTATCCCTCCCTACCTTCTCCTCCAGGTTCCCTTCCTTCTCCAGGTTCCCTGCCATCTCCTCTGGCCTCCCTGTCTTTTCTTCCACCTTCCCTGCCTTCTCCTCCACCTTCCCTGCCTTCTCCTCCACCTTCCCTGCCTTCTCCTCTGGCCTCCCTGCCTTCTCCTCCAGGTTCCCTGCCTTCTCTGGCTTCCCTTCTGTCTCCTCCAGGTTCCCTTTTGTCTCCTTCAGGTTCCCTTTCATGTCCTCCAGCTGCTCTAGCACTTCATACCATTTCTCTGAGAGYCTGTTGGTGCCCTTTGGCTCTTCAGGTGCCTTTGTCACCTCCTCTGAYGGTAGAGCCGTTTCCTTGGGGAATTTTCTATCAGTCCTCACATCTTTCTTCGTGTGCTTTCTGCTGTCCTGTGCCACCTTGGCTATGGCCCTGAAGGGCCCCACAATCCAGTTCAGAGGGGTGTTGTGAGTGATGTACTCAAAGAGGACATCGAGGGACCTCCGGGCTTCTGCCACGCGGTCCCAACTCCTGGCCAGAGTGGTTCCTGAGAGGTCCTGGAAGGACACAGCCGTGGAAAAAGAGCCGTGGAGCTTGTGGATGTGCCGAGTGGCCCGAGCCACAGCTTGCTGGATGTTGCTGGGGAGGCCGTGGATGCTGAGTTTGAGGTTCTCGTAGACGGGCTGGAGCTGCTGGGTGATGATGCGCAGCATGGYCAGAGTGCGCGATTCCACCTGCCGGGAGAGACACAGCTCAGTTACGGGCTCAGGGCWGGGCTCAGCCACGTGGGGCCAGTCAGACACCCCTTCTGGGCTACCTCGGGCTGCCTGGCCGTTCTGACTTGGTTTCCTTTGGGTTGGGTCAGGCTCCAGTCCACCCACAGCTGATGGAGYTTCTCCTGCCCCTCCAGCAGCTTCTGACCAACCTCCTGTTTCACAGCTTCAATCTGATGGGGAAAAACGAGAGGAAARGTTGTATTTCAAGCACACATGGGAGTGCTTCCCTGCCCAGGGAAGGATCCAAGGTGAGATGGAGCTGGTGTGGGATGGAGGGAAAGCTTCCAGCTGGATAGCAGGGAAGGCTACAGACAAGAAGAAGAAAGGCAAAAGCACGTTGGTACCAGTTTTATTGCCAGCTGCAGYCGTGAGAGGGTGTCCTGGGTGCGGTGCCTGATGCTCTGCAGCTTGGCCAGCGAGTGCTGGTAGGCTCTGTGCCTGACCCTGCCCGACARCGAGCCCAGGCGCACAAAATAACTCCGCTGCTGCTTCTGCTCCTCCACGGAGGCCACGCCAAACCCCTGCGCCGTGGCGGCCAGTTTACCTGGAGAAAACAAGAACAGAGCTCCAGTGCCCGCTGGGAGGGGTGGAAGAGGTGGTATCACCCGTTGGAAAACATGAAGGATGAAGCTTGCTGTGGGAGCRGGAGGTTTGTGGTTGTTTAGGTGTTAAAGGCAGGTTGATGCCTGCTGAATTTTCAGATGAGCAGACTCGATGGAGAGGTTGAAGCATGAACCCATGGGTTTTATTTACCTTGAGGCTGATGGGCGGGGAGCAGCACTGTGTCCCGTACTCCCACACCACGTGGCAATTTGGTGTTGACAGCCAAACTCGGTGACAAATTCAGAGCTACCTGTGTGCTTCAAAAGCTGGGTCTTGCTGTGTCAGGTGCTCTCTACTCACGTGGGAAAGCATCTACAGGCGCCAGGTACGTATTTCCTTACCTAGCTCCTCCTCGGTCATYGGCAGGTAATGATCCACCAGATCCTCTGACATTCCCAGGACAGATTCCACACCTCCAGCCACTGCCTGGCTCACTGCCTTGGCTTTGCTGATGCTGTTGGTCACTACTGAGTTGGTCATCTCCACACCATCCTGGAGAGCCTCCCTGCCCTGCTCCAGGGCTGTGCTGATCTTGCTGCTGATGGTGCCGTAGGCAGCATCCAGAGCTGTGCTGACCGTAGAGGTGACCACGGATTTGGTCTTTTCAACACTGTCCTGAACAGCCCCTTTGGTCAGGTCCACTGCTTCGGTCACCTTGGTGGCCACCAGCTCCTTGGCTCCCTGGGCWGCTCCCACAGCTGCAGTGATGGTGGAGGCCACAGCAGACTTGGTCCTGTCAACGCTGTCCTCCACCATGTGCTTGGTGACATCCACRGCCTCTGTCACCTTGCTGGTCACCAGCTCCTTGGCACCCTGGGCAGCCTCCACGGCGTTGACAATCGTGGAAGCCACAGCAGATTTGGTGAGGTCAACACTGTCCTCTACGATGTGTTTACTGAGGTCCACTGCCTTGGTCACCTTGTCGGTCACCAGCTCTTTGGCCCCTTGAGCGGCCTCCACAGCGCTGACAATCGTGGAGGCCACTGCAGACTTGGTCAGGTCAACACTGTCCTCCACCATGTGCTTGGTGACATCCACAGCTTTGGTGACCTTGTCCACAGCATCTGTCACCTTGGTGGCCACCAGCTCCTTGGCWCCCTGGGCAGCYCCCACAGCYGCAGTGATGGTGGAAGTCACAGCAGACTTGGTCCTGTCCACACTGTCCTCCACCAGGTGCTTGCTGAGGTCCACAGCYTCTGTCACCTTGSTGGTCACCAGCTCCTTGGCCCCTTGAGCGGCCTCCACRGCGTTGACAATYGTGGAGGCCACAGCAGACTTGGTCCTGTCMACGCTGTCCTCCACCATGTGCTTGGTGACATCCACGGCCTCTGTCACCTTGTTGGTCACCAGCTCCTTGGCWCCCTGGGCAGCCTCCACAGCACTGCTGACAGTGGAGGTGACCACAGACCTGGTCAGTTTGACACTGTCCCCAACAACATTTTTAGTGAGGTCCACAGCTTCCGTGACTTTATCAGCCATCGCYTCCCTGGCCTCGCAGGCAGCGTCCATAGCAGAGGTCACCTTGGTGGTCACCAGCTGCTTGGTGTCTGAGATGACCTACAGCAGGGAGGGGCAGAGAAAGAGATTTTTTTTTTTTTTCAAAAATATGTTTTCCCTTTCTGAAAAAGCTTTTCACAGTCTGTGGGAGGTGAGCACACCTGTGTGGATGTGGATGTGTTCATTCCCACATGCCAAGGACGCCTCTCCAGCTCTCCTCAGCTGGCCCTGCCTCCTCCAGCCCACACCACAGCCCTGCTGCTGGGCTTTATTGCCTTCCCCATGTCCTTCTCTGCCCATAAACTCCATCAAGCCATGGCTTCCCCACAAAAAGCCTTTCCTTACTTTATCTGCTGGCTGCTGCAGGAAGGGCAGGGTCTCCTCCAGCTGATCCAGACCTTTACAGGCATATTCATTCACAAGGGCAACTGGAAGAGACAACAGGAACCAGTTTATTCTTCCATTTGGGGATGGATTTTTGACCCTACAATGCTCAGTTCAGGAWACACTCATGAAAACAAGCCCCAAAAATATAAATCACCACTCTGGGATGGGATGTGTGTGGGTGTCTTGTTAAAAAATGAACAAACCCTAAAATTTGGCAGGTTCAAATCTCCATTTTGCCTTCCCAACTTTCTAACTGCAGGCTTTAATCCAATTGCAGTGTAGAATCTGCCCTTGGTGGGTAGGGCAAGGGTTTAAAATTGTTGGGATGAGCCAGACCGAGCTCTATCCCAGACTGACACTGCTGCTGYCATTGGGGAGGTCAGAACTCAGAGACAGCAGTGAGTTATGTCTTAGTAACTTAAATCAACTTCTGTTTCTCCTGGAAGCAGTTTAATTCCTGGGAAGTTYRGTGTCTSGGAGCTGCTGAGTAGTAACTCTGARAAATTAACTTCTGTTTTTYCTGGAAATGGTTTAACTCCCAGAAAGTTCARTGTYTGGGATCTGCTGAGTAGTAACTCAGAAAAATTAACTTCTGTTTTTTTTCTGGAAACAGTTGAATTCCCAGAAAGTTCAATGTTTGGGATCTGCTGAGTAGTAACTTAGAGAAATCAACTTCTGTTTCTCCTGGAAATGGTTTAACTCCCAGAAAGTTCWRTGTYTGGGATCTGCTGGGTGGGAAACTCAGCACTGGAGAAGAAGGTGCTGTGGGATCTGGGATCACCCTACAAGCACAGAAACCTCCCCTCCCCACCCATCCCCGTGTCCCAARGGTCCCTCCAGCCCTGCACTTACTCTGGGGCTCGAGTTGGCTCAACAAGGGCTGAGCTCCTCCGACCACGCTGCCCACAGCCACAGCAGCCACGGTCTCAGCCACACTGCACACCCCACTGAGACAGGGGTGGCACTCCTTGGTCTGGTTGTAGGCAGAGGAGACCAKGTTGAAGGCAGAATTGAGCAAGGGCAGGTTGGTGACTCGATTGACAGCGCTCTAAACCCAAGAGAAACGGTGACATTAAAGCCTGGCCTAAAGCTGGGGGTGATCACAGCCGTGTGTCTGCTCAGAAAAATTCAGAAAATCCATCTCCTCATCCTTCTGAAGCTCAGGAGTTGAGGAGACTCATCCACAGGGGCCTCCACCAAGTGAACAAGCCAGGGTTAAAAAATTGGAGCTCTGGGCTGGTGAATTCTGAGTCACACTGGTTTCAGCAGCAAACCAGATGTGGAAGTAGGACCTGTAAGAGCTCATGTTTCAGAATTACTTGCATTGCTTGACCAGCCCTGAAGTTGTCCTTTGAGCCAAACAATTCCTTCTGTACTGAGGAGATTTTGATTTGATCAAAGGATTCATCTCTCTGTCCCTCCCCAGGCTGGTTTTGGGGTGCTGGCAGAGCTTTATCAGCAAATCAGGGGTGATTTAACAGCTCTGAGCTGCTCCTGGCACCTACCACTGTCTGCTGCTCCTCAGCCTTCAGCAGGTCTGGGGTTGGGGTYTTTCCTGAGGCCATTCTGAGTTCAGCTGCAGCTGGAAGGGAAAACAATATCACAGCATGAGCACAAGAGGATTTGATTTTCTTTTCCAAAGAAATCAAATCCTACCAAAAGAGGGGAAAAGCAGAGGGCAGCAAAGCTGGGATCCATCATTCAGCTGCTCCAGGGGAGTTCAGGTTAGAAATAGGTGAGAGATTTTTATCTGCCTTGTGTTTTGTCTGTGGGGTGGGATGGCTGTGGCTGGACACCACCAAAACCATTCCATCACCCYTTCCTCAGCTGGGCARGGGRGAGAAAATATCCCAATCTAACCAGTTTGGGAAGAACATCAAAATTCATCAAAACTCCAGTTTTCCCTGGAGGATGAGGCAGGATTCCCATGACTACCTGGAGATTTGCCTTCCCATTCTGCTGACCAGCAAGGCAGGAAATCTCACTTCCTGTGAAACCAGGCCTCGGAGACATTCTCATGACATAATGGGATTGAAGAAATATCAAATGTTGCAATAATCTGAATGTGTATTGGCTTCCCCAGCGCTGATCTGGACACTCCAGTATTGGTGATAAATCCAGGATTAGTCCTGAGCCTTAGTCAGGCACAGCAGAGATTTCAGCCCATTTGTTCTTCAGGAGAGATTCTGCTTTTMTCTCCTTTGCCAGTTAATTCCTATTCTTAGTTTTGCTATGACATTTTCCAATGGAAAACCCTCAAAATGCCTCCCAAACTGGATTTCCAAACCATGCAATGCTCCAGGCTCACTGACAGGTTCTTCCCAAAAAAAAAAAACCTTCCATCTGAGTTGTAGCAGAGCCCATTGTCTTGTTTCTTGTGTTTTTTTACTTCATGCAAGGTTTTTATTTTGCTGAGAAACAGGAACAGAGAGAGAGAGAGAGGGAGAAGTGGCGAAACCAACGTTTGTGAGCCCTGAACTGAGCTCTGCCTCTGGCCAGGAACATCTCAGGAGGTGATTTGGCAAAACACCAAATATTGCTGCTKTTAACCACTGAATGAGTCAGAATTCAGTGAGATTCGAGCAGGGCAGGGATGCTGAGTGACAAAAGCTGTCACACAAATTGTCACCTTCAACCTCTCCAGTGAGAAGAGTCCTCCCCAGTTTAACTGCACAGAAAAAAACACCAATGGATCCTCACCACGCTGGGAGAATTTGTAAAAAAACTGCTCCAAACAAAGCAAAGCTTAAAAAATAAAATCCAAGTCCTAAAGTCCAYGGGGTTTGCTGTCAGTGCTGTTCCTCTGGCTCTGCTTTAGGGCAGGAYTGTTATTTCTTTGAAGCCAAGCAGGGCTGACTTAGGGGCAAAGCACAGCTCTTTCAACACCATCACAAACAACCCCTTTGCTTATTTTACTTCTGAAAAAGCAGAAAAAAAGCTCAAACTGTGGAGTTTGACACCACGGTGGCCTTGGTGTCAGGGCCAGCACAGAGACGCTGCAGCAAAAAGGAAGAAGGGGAAGACTCTGGTGGGAAAAATTCAGAAATAACCCCTTGGCTGATGGAAAAAACTGGTGTGAGATTAGAATAAACCTCTGAAGCAAAGGGATCCCGTGTTAACCATGGATGCAGCCATGCCAGGGACAATCCTTCAGCACAGTCATGTCACAACAAGGTTTGCTCTCCGCTGCGTTGAAGAAATCCGTGTGTGTTGCAACGCCACGATTTGCAGCGTGGGCAAATCTCCCCAGCGTGGTTTTATTTTCTTTTCTCGCTGCAAAAGCGCTGAGCAGCCTTGGTGTTGCTTCAAGAGATTTCAGGAAAGCCCAAGGCTTGGCAATTCTGGGTCAGGAGGTTGCAAATCCTTTGGAGAAGGCACAGCCAGGATCGCCGGGAGCGGAATCCCGGCGGGCAGAGGAACAGAAATGACACTGCTTTGTTTTGGTTGTGGTTTGCTGGGTATGAAAGTGATGATCCCATGATTTCACGCCATTGCTCCATCCCAAATATGAGGTCACYGCTGGAGAAAGCTCTTGAAGCAAGGTGGTTTCAGAAGGATGAAACTTCAGCGCTCCTTTGTGGCATCAAGGTCAGGAGATTTTCTCTGAATTCTGATTTTTTTCTGAACTCCTGGACATTGCCAGGCTGGAGTCGGTGAAGGAGCAAAGGTTGGCACCAAACAGAGGACACCAACCCCACCCAGCTGCTCTTTTCCCTGCTTTATCCCAGGGATTCTTCTCCTGTGCCAGGAATTTCTCTGTTGGGATCAGCACACCCTGATTTCTCTCACTCCAGAATCACAGCTCACAGCAGCTGCTGCTTTAACTGCCCATTRTTTGGAAGATTTCCCCGTGGGAAGCAGCTCAGCTCCTCCAGAACAAGCTCTGCTGTGGGTTCCTGCAGGATCTTCACCTTCAGGAGGCTTTTCTCCCTTCCAGAGGGATTTTACCATGGGAGACAGACTGGTTCGGTGGCTTAACCAACAATTCCTTAATGACCATTGAGGAAAACAAAGCTAAATTTAGTGCTTTAGATGTGAGCAGGGAGGGCTAATCAGGGCACAGGAATTCAATTGTGGTTAAAGCACCTATTTACATTCTTTTCGAGATTTGCCACTGATACCCAGGTTCCCAAAAATGCAGAATTGGGTCACGGGATGGCTGTGGGGAATGGCTCTGAGAACAGAATTCCTTTTAGGAGGAAGATCTGAGGACAGGATTAGTTTTAGGAAGAAGATCAAACGATTCCCAGCTCTGACCTTAGGACAGTAGTTTCAGGAGAGCTGGCAGAGGTGCCCATCTCAACTTTCTGGATAAACCAGCAGGACTAGGAAAGCTCAAAGATCAAAGGCACCTCTGAGATGGATGCAGGGCTTCCCTCACACAACTTCCAGCAGAAATCAAACACCACAACCAGTGCCCACCACTGGGTCATTAACTGCTTGGAATAGAGATATTTTAAGAAAGGAAGTTTTAATTGAGACAGTTTCTCAGTATTTACCAATCTTTCCACGAGGACAGAGCTTTTGGTTTCAGCTGTAACCTGCAGAGGAAGCAGCTTAACACATTTCCATCTGGAACTTTTCAGCAGAAGCTGCTTCAGAAATCAAACTCCTTCCCAGCCATGCACAGCTCCAGGTAGCCACGACCACATTTTAAACCTTGTCAGCCTTGAGAAACTCTAATCCAGTTTGGCAAAGCTCCCTCCAGAGCCCTGCAGGGACAGGGTGCTCCTGAGCAAGAGTTCCTTTGGCACTCAGTCCTTGTGGATCACGAGAAACAGCCCCGGGCAGGGCTGGAAACGCTGTCACAGGAAGGGAATGCCAGCCTGGTCACCTGCATGGCCTGTCCCCGAGGTGTCACCAGCATCACCTGCCCCTGGAGCACCCACGGTGTCCCCAAGATTCCACAAACACTGTGGATGTGACCGGGGGGTGTCACCTCCTGTGGACCCCCCAAACCAGGATCCTCAGCAGACAAAGAGCAGAAAAAAAGCTTTTAACCCCCAAAATGTTCAATCCCAGCTCAGGGATCCATGGAGTTACCAAGGAATCATCTCAAAACTMAGAAGGAGCCTTTAGGGACGGATTTGAATCCCACAGTTGGGATYTCATTGTTTGGGYTGGAAAGRACCCTAAAAATCACCTCGTTCCAACCCCTCTCAGCTGTTACCCAAAGCAGACACATCGTGACACCAGAAAACATCACCTTTAACCCCAAAAAGCAAAGACCCCAAGCACACAGAAAAGCAGGGACACAGCACCCAGCTCTGCTCTCCCAGGAGGAACCTGTGAGCCCCAGAGCTGCGGGATGGAGGCGGCTCCATCCCAACCTCTGCCCTTGGGGAAGGGGCTGCAGAGCCCCTGGAGAGCAGGGGACAGCTCTGAGGAATCACCCCAAACCCTCAGATAAATCCCAAACCCCCAATTCCCCCCTCCCAGCCCAGCCCAGCCTTACCTGGCTCCTCCACGCCGGCACTGGTGAAACTGGGAGCACTGGGCGTCGCCCCAGTTAAATACCCGGGAGGGTGATTGGCAGCTGCAGGATTGAATCAGGGCTCTGTGGGTGCTGGCCTGGCCAATGGAGAGCGGGATGGGGTGCAGGTGAGTGGGATGGGGCACAGGTGAGGGGCTGGGGGTGCCCCCGGGCTATGGGGGAGGTGGGAGTTGCTGTTTGTCCCCTCCAGGAGGGACAGAGCTGATGGGGTGTCCAGGGGTGCTTTGGTCTTGGGGTGATGGAATCATGGAATGCCCTGAGTTGGGAGGGACCCACAGAGATCATCAGCCCAACCCTGCAGAGACCCCGATAATCCCACAGGGATCATCACCACAACCCTGACACTGTAGCGACCCCAATAATCCCCCAGAGATCATCACCCCAACCCCGATGCTGCAGAGACCCCAATAATCCCCCAGAGATCATCAGCCCAACCCCAACACTGCAGAGACCCCAATAATCCCCCAGAGATCATCAGCCCAACCCCGACCCTGCAGACACCCCAATAATCCCCCAGAGATCATCAGCCCAACCCCAACCCTGCAGAGACCCCGATAATCCCCCAGGGATCATCAGCCCAACCCCAAACACTGCAGAGACCCCAATAATCCCCCAGGAATCATCAGCCCAATGCTGCAGAGACCCCAATAATCCTCCAGGGATCATCAGCCCAATGCTGCAGAGACCCCAATAATCCCCCAGGGATCATCAGCCCAACCCCAAACCTGCAGAGACCCCAATAATCCCATAAACAATGATTTGTTTTGAACAGCAAACACTGAAAACTCCACTTAACGCTTTTCTTTCCCATTTGTGCCTTTTCATCCTCAGCTTTGCAAAAACCGGTTTAAAAAACATCAATTAAGCTTCCTTTTCTTTCTCATTTATACTTTTTTCATCCTCAGCTGTCCAAAAACCGGTTTGAAAACACCACTTAAGCTTCCTGTTGTCTGTTTGCAAGATCAGCGGGGGAGGAAACTGAGGCACAGGTAAAAATTATCTGAAGTCTTCCAACACTATTAAAGTGATTGAGTCACCTTGTTTTGGGGCCACTGCGTGCAGGAGACCTTGGATTTGCTTCTGTGTTGACATTCAGGCACTGGGGGCAGGGAATTTCTGAAAAATGTGCTGTTCAGCTGACAAAAATGCAAACAATTGTCACTCCTCAGCTGGGAGGTGGGAAGGAATCCCCATCCTGATTTATTTGGGAATGTTGGCTGGAAAAGTTGAGGTGCTGAGCTTTGAAATCTTCCCTGCACGGTGCCCCGTCATGGTGGGGCACAGGGGAGTGTGAGTGGCAGGTGACAAGCAGTAATTATAATTAACCAGGCAGTGTTTAATATCTTGATTTTGATTTTTAGGGTGGGATATCCGTGCTCGGAGCTGCCTGCAGGGTGATGGAGCTGCCTGCAGGGTCAGAACGCCGGATTTGGGGGATTGCACTGTCAGAGCAAAGGTTTGCACAAGCATTTCTGTGACCCTTTGGTGCTGTGTGAAAGGCACGGATTAAAATCTGAGATAAAATCGGCACTGAGGGGTTTGGTGGGCGTGGGAAGGGCGTGGGAGGAAGCGGAGAAACACGTTTGGGGAAGGACAGGGAGCTGAGCTGGCCGGAGCCCTGCAGTGCTGTGTCAGGGCAGGAATTGCAGCCTGGAGCCATGGGGCAGGATCCTTGGGGTGTGAACCCCATCTGCTGGAGCTCTGGGAGCCCCTTTCCCCTTTCCCTGTCCCCTGTCCCTGTCCCCTGTCCCCTTCACCACTGTCCTTCAGCTCCCTCCTGCCTGGGGCCAGCGCCTCTCCATCCTCGAGCTGCCCATTTGTCCCATCCTGCTGGCATTTCTGTTGAGTGTTTAGGGTTTGGAGGGGCAGCCCCCATGCTGGGAGCCTGCTCTGTGCTGTGTCACAGCTCAGCATTGTCCCTTTGGGGCCCGGAGGCCACATGTGACACCAGAGTTCCTCACTGCCAACGTTCATCTGCTGCTGCGGCGGAAATCCTCTCGCTGCTCTCACAGGCCTTTGGCCCCGTGAGCAACCTGGCACCGTGCCATGGCCACCTTTCCTGTGGTCCCCTACCCCGTGGTCACCTTTCCTGTGGTCCCCTACCCCGTGGTCACCTTT